CATGCATCACATTTCCAGACAGTGTGGTTTCACCGTTAGAAGCATCTTAGCACGTACCTTCCCGTCAATCTTAAGACCCTCTGCAGTTGTTGGTGTTTTCTCAACATAATCCCAAAGATCTTCCATGACTAAGTAAAGCTCCACTTGAACTTTCCACGTCGCATTGTTAGATACACCGTCAAGTTTCTCGAAATTTTGCTGTAGTCCTCCCACAAACTGGGGCTTTCTAATATTGTCTCCATCTTCTACAAGATTCATCTCGATTATTATTCTAGAAATCTTTTATCCAACCACGCTCTGCTACCATGTGGGGAAATCCAGAGTTTAGGGATACCTCACAGAGATCTAGGACGTTCAAATTAGAAATATAATCATTTTTTTTTTCATTTAAATTAGAAATAAAGTAATTTAATGCTACAAACAGGCTACTTTCCTGATAAAATGAAGATATCATTAAAAAAACCTTTACATAAAAAAGGTTCCAAAGAAGTCTCAGAAAATTACAGGCCTATAGCTCTTCTTCCGAATTTCTCTAAAATATTTGAGAAAGTTATCTACAACAGAATAACATACTTTTTACATAAACGTAACATATTTAGTCAGTTTCAATTTGGATTTCGTAAAATGAGATCAACATCTCTATCAATTTTTACATTTCTACATAGTTTGTGGGAAGCTATAAATCTTAAAAAAGACAGTATTGCACTTTTCTTGGACATGACAAAAGCGTTCGACTGTGTTATACACTCTATCTTGCTAAAACAACTTGATAAATCTGGTAGAGGCGTAGCAAATGACTTAATACGTAGTTACCTATCGGAACGTAAACAAGCACTATGTCTGACCGTATTTAGCAATAAATGCGTGCAAGAGGCCAGATCGACATACTTAAGAAATATATTGGGAGTGCCACAGGGAAGTGTACTGGGTCCTCTTCTCTTTAATATATATATATAAATTAAATGCCACATCTTACTCAGTGTTATGCACGCTGTATACTTATTATGTTCGGTGATGATGTCACAATATTATTTACTAATAACGGAAAAACAAAAATTGACTACGAATTTGACATAAACAGTACATTGAACGGTCTTATTACCTGGCTTAAATCACTAAATTTAAAAATAAATAATTCTAAAACAAAATATATGCAGTTTGGTAATTACAAAAAAATTTACTTAGATTTGCACATAACTTATGAAAATGACGTTATTGATGAGGTAAACACTACTAAATTTCTTGGTATTACTATAGATAAAAATTTAAATTGGAAACATCACATAGATGTGCTAAATAACAAGCTTCGTAGTTATTGCTACGCTTTATCTGTATTGGTCGATGTAGTGTCGGTTGAAGTTGCAAAAACCGCATATTACGGGAACGTATACCCATTATTAATGTATGGTGTAATTTTTTGGGGAAACTCTGTCAATGTGGTTGAAACATTCACAATACAAAAACGATGCTTACGCATAATCTATAGTAAGCCCAGTGACTATTCTCTAAGAAGTCTGTACAAAGAAATTGATTTCCTGACTTTAGCAGGAATATATATTTTGGAAATATGTCTTTTTGTACGTAATCACAGTAACTTCTTTACTAAAATATCTAATGTACACTCCGTTAACGTCAGAAACAAGGACCGTCTTGTCCTCCCTAAAATAAACAGCACGATCTTTGACCGCAGCACCTATGTAACAGCGATTAGAATTTATAATAGACTTCCAATGGAAATGAACTGTTTAAATGGTGATAAATTTAGAGCTTGTTTAAAAAAATGGTTAATTGACAAAGTTTTTTACAATCTTAACGAATTTTATATAAAGACATCAAATATTTGACAATTGTATAACTAACTTAATTATAATTTTAATTTTTGACATTTAAGTTGTAATAAATTTTAATTGACTTGTAATTTTAAGACATTGTACGCCTGATTTGGGTAAGAATTGTAGATCTAATCACTTGTAAGTAACACCTGTATTTTACCAATTCATACAATAAATGTTTCTGATTTCTGATTTCAATAAATGTTTCTGATTTCTAAAACAATAAAATAGATCTAAGCAAATTATGTAAAAACACATTTAATTTAGGACTGCAGTCAAAAGTATAATGTCACAAAAAAACAATGACATAGAAACCTGAAAAGATATTTAAATTTGAATTACATAGGAACGCATACACTAAAAAGGTTTGGTCGATTAAAAATATTTAATCTCCTTCAACAGCTAACACTATTTATAAATAAAATTGTACATACATTTTGCTATCACTCTTTTTATTTTTCCGACATTTTTTGACAAGCTATGTTTAAACATGACATTTAAACATTTCTTCTTTATTACCATTGAGTTTCATTAAACATCATATTCAAACTCTAACAAAAGTCACTAAATCCTTGAAAACACCGAGAAATCCTTCGAGGATGGAAGAGAAATCACATTATCGTATCACATTGTCATGTTAAACCATCGAGCATGTTAAACTTAGTAACATCACTTTTATTTTTGTCAGTCGTAATGTTGAATACCTAAATCATAAATCTCCAACAAAACAGATAACAATCACATTTCATTGATAGGAGTTAAATATAAGTTCTGCACTAGATTGCAACCCTACCTATGTTGACACATCATTATAAAGTATTATGAAAGATTACTGTTCATAATTTGCTAATAATTTACTTAATGAATATATCCACTTTTTTATTAAATACAAAACACAAAACGAAATGAGTTAGGGTGAATACCTATGTCAATGTTAGGCGAATTACTACTTCCTTTACATATTCTGGATCTCGAGTCTAAAATACCCAAACCGCAGTTTTTCATAGATATCTCGTTGTAATGCCGATACATTTTTATCATGAATCCTATGATATGATACAAGTATTATTCTTATACGTACGCAGGTTAAATGTTTTGCTAGGTATTCGAAGATTACGAATTTTGCAGATTTAAAAGGTAAGAAGAGATGCACCGCAAACTGGCTGCCCTAAGCAAGAAAGGAGAGAGTTCTGGGAATTTTTTCAAGACTTTATTCAAGGAATCCCCGCCAATGAAAAAACAAAATCGTCCCTGGGAATTTTAATGGTCCCGTGGGCTGCGTCAAGCGAATGCTCTATCCACGGAAATCACGGCATTGGTTAACTTAACGACGAGGGAGCAGATACTTTGCAGCTCGCCAATGTCTTAAATATGCTTATCAACAACACCTACCTACCTACCAAACCGGTAAATCAACCACACAAATAGATTACTTTCTCTGTAGCAGATCAATTCGAAAATAGTTTTAAAACTGCAAGGTAGCCGGAAGAACCACTTACTGCACAACACAGAATACTTGTTACCAGCCTGAACATGCCCCGGTGCAACACAAACAGGAGGAGTCACACCAGCTGTTCTTTACGGATCAGAATGCTGGGCTATGTGCATATCAGATGAACAGCCTATACATGTAACCGAAATGCGCATGACGAGGTGGGCGGGAGGCGTTACCAAGTATATCCGAGGGACATTTAAAATGGCACCTATACAGGAAAACTTAGGGAAACCGATAACGTTGGTATATCCACGACGATAGAAAAAGATTTTTTTGATCATATGACTAAAAAAATCTTGGCGTTAAATACTGAATTCGCCAAAAGATGGCCAGATAGACCCCAGACTAGTTGAATTGGAACCGTCCGAAGACGATGGGTGTAGACCCTGAGCTTGCGCAAAGGCGCCCGGAGTAGCGCGCGCGATCTAGGAGGACCGACCTCAAAAGAAATGGGGCTTAAGGCCAGGACAAAGAAAATGAAAAGAGAGTTAAAAATATTTACAGCCTTTCTTTGCTAACTTTATACGCCGCAGATAGAACGACGGCAGTTCCGCGGTTACTACGGCCTTATTAGTTCTTAAAAGACACTGTAGATTACCTAATACCCTCGCGGCCTCTAAGGACTGGAATGACTTACCTCCTCCTAAAAAAAACTTAATGTCGTCATGGACTTTCAAAAATAAATTCAAACTTTGACTACTTTCGTGGCATCCATCGTTTGTACTCGTATACGTAGCATTAATAACGCACATCTGTTCATCCTATCGAAATTTCAAATCGGATTGTTTTAAATTGTTAATATATTCGTTCAGTCGCAGAATGTCCACTTCGCAAAATGTCTACCGCACGCAAAAAGTCCATTTCTCAGAATTATAATGAGTGGCCAATATGTTTATAGGTTTATGTCGTGAATGTTATTTGTAAACTATTTACTATTTAGCATAACGGCTGTTTTATAAAGCATTTAATTTCATTTTTAATCAGTGTTCATGGGCAGCACTTTTTTTGTTAAACTAATAAAAACTCTATCCCCAGTACGTAAGTTTGATATTTAGGTTTTGAATAGTATGGCATTTCTATGGTCGGCTCAAATACACTAGTGTCTCCGTAGCGTAACCAAGCCCCGACAAGGCGAGGAATGCACAATTTTCTAATATTTTTTCCCGGAAAATCTTTTTATCATTACCATCGAGTACTAACCAGAAACCTTTAACCTTAACCTTTTTGATTAGGTATATGCTACCGAGCATTTGACAATCTGAAAATAATAAAAATTAAGCACAAATCAAATAAATTAGAGAAAAATGGCGGGTCTTTGTAGTTTCAATTTTTCCACGAATTAATTGTTAGTTTAAGTATTATTACCTTTTGAGTTTCTTGATTGTTTGTTGCTTGTTTTAGTTGATGGCTCTATAGCTAATGCTCAACAAATAAATAATAATCAACAATTTAGGTGGGGAAAAAATCTCGGGTTTTTGGAGTTACAGTTTTTCACAAATTAATTTTTAATTTAAAGTATTATTACGTTTTTGCTTGATTAAGCTGATGGCTCTAGGCAATGCTCAACAAATACATAGACCAAATAAATTAGAGACGAAACATGGTCTGCAGCACTTTAGCTTGTCACATTGACAGTGACATTTGTTGTGTTTGATTGAAGTTCGAAAGCGTCATTAAGACAAACCAAACCACTAATAACATAATAGTCATTAATTTTTTACTTGATGTGCAGAATTTAGAGTCAAATTTTTATTCCAAAACAGTGATAATGGGGACACAGTCAAATATTACACCCCTGACTACAACTGCTAACATTACTTTATCAGCTATGAAATATGTGAGTGGCGATAGTAACCACATATGCAGGTTATGTTTTGCAACTACAGAGGAAGAAGAAGTAATTTTGCACGACACTATTAGAGTCCAACGTTCGTATATTGATGAAAACGTGTCTTTTTTGCATATGTTCGCTGATTTAGGAGTGAGTTATTACTTTTTCTGTTATACATGTCTCTGACGTCCCGAAAAGTTAGTCGAGTTGGGTAGGCCATTTATAATGGGAATATTTGAAAAGTTTTACTGCAGATCTTGTTATTGTACCATTTCGTATACGACTAACTTGGAATTTCGGTACAGTGTTGCCAGACTTTTGCGAAGTTAATTCACTAATTTATGTGTGTTAAGTAGCCGATATTCGCCCAAGCCATAAAATTCCTAAAAATCAAGGAAAACAATTTTACAACTCTGCTTGCTGCCAGAAATTGGCGAATGTAAACTCTCTTAGTTCCCCCAATTCACCACACATAGAAATACTCAAACTCCCAAATGAGTAGTTTTACAACTCCATTCCTCACAAAATCCATTTTATTAAGTAGTCTGAAGTAGCTTTTTCCTATTTCAAACATAGCCTAAATATTGCCGAGTCGCTGATCACTTTTTTAGGCACGACCCCTTGAAGTAGCCCAAATGTTCTAAAAAACTGTTTCCGTATTTCATTTGACTGGATTTGTATTAAATTGGTTTCATATTATAAAAAAGTTGAAGTATGTAAAAATGTTTGTACATTTCAGGTGTATCTAGAGCCTAACTTACCGCAAACACTGTGCATACCATGCGGAACTACAGTTGTGAATAGTTACTTGTTCAGAAGACTCTGTGAATACTCCAACAAAAAATGGGCAGAATCCTTAAACAAACTCGAAGAGACTCTGTGTCAAATAGACTTAATTAATCCAAACACAAAAACTGCCTATTTATTAATGAATGACAAATTAAATCTTACATTCACAAGTAAAAAAAGCAAAGATAAATCTGATGCTTTGTCAAGAATAAAGAGAATAATTACTAGCAAAGCCAAATATGAGAAACTAAAATTAAAGAGAAGTTTTGTTTGTGAAGAATGTGGAAATAAGTTTTCCACTCTACAGGTGCTTATGAAACATATAAGGAAACATCATGATATTCCTGTTAGAATACCTTGTCCACAATGTGCCAAATATTTTGCTACATCATCGCAACTACAGGATCACGAAGAAAGGGTACATTATCCAAAGAACATTAAATGTCAAAAGTGTCCCAAAATGTTTGGCTCAATAAAAATGCTGACACGACATGAAAAAAAGAGCCATATAGCTGTTATTTGCAAGTTATGCTTTATGCAATTACCTTCTAGAGAAGCATTGCAAGCCCATTTAGACAAACATGATGAGAATGTATGTCAGAAATGTAACAAAACTTACTCAAATAAACAAACATTTACTCAGCATATGAAGATATGTGGCATAAAAGCAGTACCAAAATATATATGTGACATATGTAATAAAATGTATGCCCGTAAAAATGGAATAAGGTCACATTTGAAAGTTGATCATGGATTTGGAAAAGTCCTGTCTTGTAATTGGTGCAATAAAAAGTTTGATGTAATAAGCAGATTGAAAATGCATATTGTGAAACATACTAAAGAAAGGAGTTTCTTCTGTGAGCATTGCGGTGGCAAATTTGTTACCAAGGCTGCTTTAGTTTATCATACTAGATTGCATACTGGGGAAAAACCATTCCCTTGTGATTTGTGTCCGGAAAGTTTTCTTTCAGCTTCTAGAAGGATGGAACATAAAAGAAGGAAGCACTTTGAACCTACCAAAGAGTGCACCATATGCCATGCTAAGTTCACTTCGAAGTTTCAGTTGTCTCGCCATGTTCAAAGACATTACAATCCACAGAGTAAATTGTTCATGCCCACTTTACAAACAGAAAAAGCATTTGACATATTCGGATTGTAAGTGCTGGCTAAAAAATATATTTGATTATAATGTTTGAATCAATATGTAATTGTAGCAATCAAATTTTAATAAATGCTTAACATGCAATATATTTTTCAGATGTACAGATGCAATTAAAGAAAGACAAGCTTAATATAAAAATATACTTTATTTACTATATACATTGTAAAATATTCTCAGATTAGATTTCTATATATTTATTATAAAATGTAACACAGTTTTGTTGAAGTAAATAGAACACAAAGATTAAATGCATGAAAATGAAATATGCCATTACTAATCTGAAGGAGATGAATTTTCATTTTCTACAATTGATTCGTAAGAAACTTTAGACTGTTGCTTCTGTTCCTCAATATCATTACTATCATATTCTGACTTTGTCCTCATATTAGGCTTTCCCGGAATGTTTGGAGGGATTGCACTCCTACCAGCATACAACTTACTAGAAGGATCATTATGTCTACTCATATGTTGTCTCAAGAAGCTGGCTGTAAAGAATTTCCTCTTACAAATCTCACAAGGCAAAGTCGGGCCGTTATGCTTAAATTTCATATGCTCAGCTCTTGCTGAAGCATTAACAAATTTCTCATCACATAATTTACATGAGTAGGGCCTTTCACCAGTGTGTCTTCGTGTATGGTATAGCAAGGCCTCTTTAGAAACAAAATTATTGCCACAAAGATCACATTTAAACTTTTTCTCCCCAGTATGAGTGACCATATGAATCTTTAAGTAGCTTGGAGCTGTGAATTTCTTTCCACAGTGTTCACACACATGTGGTTGAGCATTGCCATGCACAAATCTCTCATGTACCCTAAGCCCTCCTGATGTACTGTACCCTTTACCACATTTCTCACAAAAGTATGATTTTTTAATTTTCCCCCTATAAGGGTGAGGATCAAGTTGGTCCTCCATACATAGTTTTACATGTTTATTATAATAATCTTTTGTAATATAGGTCTTGCCACATTTTGGACACATGCATTTGCATGTGTGTTTAGCCTCGTGAGCTTGCAATCTATCTAATCCTTTGCAGGTTTTACCACACTCTTTGCAGATAAAAGTAGTGTGAATCTTCTCTTGATGTTCTTTCAAACTGTCCTCAGTATTTTTGTACAGGTTACAACTAGAGCATTTATACAAATGGCCACTTTGTTCATGCAACTCCAATTCATTGTGATCAACAAAACACTGTTGACACTTTTCGCATGTAAAAGTATCATGACAGCTGAGATTGTGTGTGGTTAACTCATCAATGCTCGCCATAACAATATTGCAGTGTTCACATGCAAGTATGTTTTGCTTTACAGCTTTTGATGTGTTTGTCTCTTTTTCATTTTGCTTGTCCATCAGAACAAGTTTTGACTCATCTTTTCCCACAACAACATACAAACTCTGGCTTTCATCTGTTTGCTCTATATCAACATTCAAAGCCTCTGTAACATTGTCAAATATCTGATATAGCACATTTGTAGAGTTTTTGCACTGTTCAATAAACTTGTATGACTCTAGAGCTTTTTCTACACATTGTGGACACACTGCGTCTATGCCTGGTATTTCTTCGCAGACCTGTAATCAATAGCATATGCAGTAGTTAAAAGAATTATTAAGTACCAGCCAACTCAAATTAATTTTCTTCCTAAGGGATAATTTAATAGATATTGGGAAAAAAATATATTTTTAGTAAGATGAAATTCATTACCTCAGGTCCGAACAAACCACGTAGAATTTCAGATAGTGGATGAAATATATGATATTCCACATCAAGAGACACACCGTCGTCAAAACAAACTAAATTTCCTTCAATACCTTTCAGGCATAACCTGCAATGCTTGTAACGGTTCTCATTAACAACGTTAGATACCAAAACGCTATAGTCCATTTCACTGACCATTTTGTAAAGTTAGTTTATAGATTTGTTTTTATCAATTTAGTCAAAATCGTGTCAAAGAAACCGCGCGATTTTGCACTTTTCGTTCAACAACACCGTGCGATTGCATGCGATGGTGAACGACGCCATGAAATCAAATCCAATATGGCGGTCGAACCATGAATCGAACACACTTAAAATATTGTATTAGAAGATTTTATTTAGAGAAATTGTGCGATCTATTAATAAAAATGAAAAACAATCAATACAACAAATCTTTAAAATATTACTATTATAACAAACTATACTAGAGCCATTTTAATTTTGTTCAAAATAACGAAACGTAAGCAAAACCTCTAACATTGGAACGGCCAGCCCGTCGTTAACCATCAGTGTCACTTGTCATTGTCATGTCATGTTGTAGTGTCAGTCGGTCTATTTTTACAATAAAAAATTTATTAACCTTCCATTTTTGCTCTTTGGTCTCAACAATTTTCGTTAGGGTGTTGTTTATTGGCATTGAAATGTTTTTAATTTTATGTTTGGAAATTGAAATACAAAAGTAATTTCAAAATGCTACTACATCTAAAAAACGCTTTATCGAAAATAATACATGGCGACGATAACTTCTGCTGTTTATGTTTTCAAAACTTAGATGATAAATCGTTTGGTATCACCGATAAAGTATTTATCGACGAAAATGAGAATATGCAGGAAGTTTCTGTTTTATTGAGATACATCTTCGGCGAAGCGGCAAGTATAGCCACAGGACAAAGTAGCAAGAATATTTTAAACTTTGCTGCCATTTATTCTAACCTCATTTTTTCTTTTTTCAGTTCTTAGACGCAATGTCCAATTTTATCGCCATATGTAAGTCTTGTAAGCTTTCCTGTGTGCTCAGCTACAAATTTATCAAAACGTGCAAACAAAACTGTGAGGATCTTACTAGTGCTATAGACAGCATATCGGATTCCTTTCAAAATACTATTCCAGATATTAATTATTACGAAAACCTCTATGTCACTTTGAATGTTAAAGATTTTACAAGTCAACAGTATTATGACGACAGACGGCTCAAACGGTCGCATGTTAGTAGTAGACTTAATCAACTAGCTCTTACAATGAAAGAAGATGGATCTGAAATCAAAGTAAAATCAAAACGTAGATGTGATTCAATAAACTACGATATACCTGAAATTCCAACTGAAGAAATTAGTTTAAACATTAGAGATTCAGAAAGTTATCTTTGTACAATATGTAACAGGAATTTTCACTCTGAATCTAAAATAAGGAGACATTTCTTTAAACTTCATTATTCAAGAGATTTTAAATGTACTAAATGCCCCAGAGCCTTTATTACAGAACAGCTGCTAAAACAACATGAGATTGATTTGCACAAAAGTGGAGTTTGTAAGGAATGTGGCAAGTATTTTTGCAACAAGTATGTTTTGAAAAAGCATGAATTAAACCACAATCTCAGAGTAATATGTTCAGATTGTGGCAGAGTATATCGAAGTAAAGAGGCTTTTAATAATCATAAAAGAGATAAAGTATGTCAACAGAAATCTAAGAAATCATCTAAAGATGGAGAGTATCAATGTGATCATTGTAAGAAGACATACTGTACTAAAGCCTATTTGGCCAAACACTTGAAATACGAACATGGAACAGCTGAAGGATTCCGGTGTAGTTATTGCAACAAACAGTTTTATTCAAAAAGCAAGCTTGATACTCATATTGTAAAACATACACAAGAAAAGAAGTTTGCTTGTGAAATTTGTAATAGACGGTTTGGTACACAAATGGCATTGGTATACCATACACGTCTTCACACTGGGGAAAAACCATATAGTTGTGAATTCTGTAATGCAGCGTTCATATCTGCTTCTCGGCGCTTGGAACATATGAGAAGACATCATATGGAACCTAACTTAGAATGTGACATTTGTCACAGCAAATTTAAGGCCACTGGATCTCTGTTGAAACATAAGAAAAGACATTTCAATCCCAAGAGTAGACTGAATGCATCTAGATTTTTACAAAAACCTGACGGTAATAGTGTTGAGGTGTACAAATGATTTCCCATTATTGCTCTTTACTCAACCTGTAGACGACAATAGTTCAATGATTCTCCCAAAACTGAACAACTGTGTTTTGACTCAACAATTTTAAGAAAAATCTATTTTTTAAATGATATGTGTATTGGACAAACTGTGGTTAGCGACACTCTCAACAGTTGTAGTGTCACTTTAAGAGTTTTAAATTGCAAAGTTATGAGAAGACTGCCACAGTACATGTCACCCTAAGACAAAAGTTGACAAGTCCCATGTATCCTTTCTTTCATCCTTCAAATATGGAACATAGCAATGCTCACGTTACTACTTGACATCAGAAAAAGGAACTCCTCCGATACGAAATGAATATAGTCAGTAGAAAAACGTAAAGTCTAAAGAAGCTTAACATACTAACAGGAGCCAATTACAAAGACAACAGCAAAAGGCACAACAAGAAAGTAGCGGATTATCCAAAAAGTAGTGGATTATCTGACTACTCAAGTACTAAAGACTGCTTAGATAGAGATGAAACAGGACTGATTTAGAAAAAAATCCAAACCAATGATATACATATGTTTTCATTACTAAAGTTTATATTGAGTGGTCAGAAAAATATAAGAGAACCAAGGTATAAATAAGAAATTTAAAGTATGTTTGTTTTACTAGGTCAATTCTGTCCCTTAAAAGCTGAAACTCTGTAAGTCTCTTTGAGCCAAGTGGGACTTAGTCAGTTTCATCTTTAATTAATAGCCTTCAATAATTTATCTATTAATTAATCAATGAAAACTTTTTATACTGAAAAAATAGTTCCTATTAAAATAAAGACATTAATCTTCACTTCACAAAATTAACAACAAAATCTATGTCAGGGCATTGTTTCCGTTTACCATAATGGTAATCCTGTGGTTGGCCCTTAAAAAAATGAAAAAGATCAGTGATAAACTCCACTGCAATTTGATGAGCGTAAAAGATCATTTCTTTTACCAGCATTCTAGGCATTTTTGTTTATTATGCATTGTGTTCTTTAGTTCAGTTTGTGGAGAATTGTCCCGTTATTCATTTGGATTTAAAATCACATTTAAATATTGTACATTGTGTAACTTTGTTAATATATTGTTTTTAATAAATCCTAGTATGTACCATGTGTTTTTTACCCGACTTCAAAAAAGAAGGAGGTTCTATTTGACTGTTTTTTTTGTCTATTTAGGATACGCGATTACTCCGGACATTTGCGAACCGATTTTGATGATTTTTTTTTTGAAAAAGGGTACCTCCGTATTGGTTCCATTTAAATTTGATGAAAATTATTATATCTCTCAGTGCCCAGTTACACGAGGCAAAAGTTTTCGCGCGGCCGCCGCGCATTAATAATACATTAATGATGAATCTGAATTCTATTTACTAGGCATAAACATTTGAAATCCTCTGAATAATACAAACAACGACGCTTCCGCCGCCCGCCCGCCCGCCGCGAAGACCAATTCAAGCCAGACTCGCCTGCGTGGCCGGGTCGCTCATTTAAGTTAATAAATAAATAGAGCGTATTTTGCCATGACATTAAGACTGCGCGGCGGTAACGCGGGGTAAGCGCGATGAAATTTGTGTCGAATAAATGCGTTCTAAGAGTGGTAAACTAGATGATGAATCCGGTTTCGCGCACTTTTCATTAACCGATTCCAATAAAACTTGGCAGATAGATGTAATTCCAATAAAAAAAGCCGATAAGCAAACTTTTGAAAGTAATTGCTGTTCCGCCGCCATGTCATTACAATATTTTTCATTTATGTGTACCTATCCTGTGATAAAGCCGACTGCATTGCGCTACCCACATTGCGTCACACGTCGCAGTAATACGTGTAAATAAATAATAGTTTTTATTATATTATTATGTATGTTAGTCTATAAGGTATGTGTTTATGGGTCTTTTGTAACCTGAAAATAAATAATAAAAAAAAAGTATTGATATTCATTTTAACAAATAGTAACAAACAAATTTTAGCATCACGTTAAACTACCTGTTACTGCTTACGAGTAAGTGTGTTAAGAAAATTGTAACTTTTTCATTGAAAAAATAAAAACCGCCTCAAAAGTTTGCTTATTGACGTTTTTCAATTTCCATGGGATCCCCCAGATTCTGACTTCTTGGTGACAGTGGGACTTTAGTGGGACTCCTTTTTACATTTTATACTTTTTTCTGGTTGCCATGGTGACGGTGATTTGTTGATTACATGCGAAAACTTGAATTTTATGTGCGGATTTTTTTTTAATTTGTGATAGCCGAAACGTTCAAAATCTGTCCACAATTGACGGAGAACTCGGAAAACATACATACAGCCGAACGTATAACCTCCTCCTCCTTTTTTTAAGTTGGTTAATAAAAGAAACAGTAATAATGAGGTTTTAAAATAATACATACACAGTGCTACACATAGTCACATTATTACCTACACCTTTTCTTGTTTTGTAACTTCGCAAGATCGTTGACCGATTTATACACAATTTTATTATGTAATCTTTTCAGTTATTTACATACACATCTATATGTTTACTGAATAAAATAGTAAAGTTATTTATTATTATTGATTGATAGAAATGAAAATTCAGAATTTTTGTATGTGACAATTTATTCGAATCGAACTGTCTATGCTTCGTTTGCACGATAGTAGTACATCGTTATTAATTTTACGTTGGCAACATGAATTTTCAGTCCATTCATTCATTCACTGCTGTCACTTTTGCTTTGATGTCAAAATGTTCTAAGGACAGGGCAAGAGTGTAGTCTATGTGAATTCGATTCAACAATTTGTTTCGATCGTTTCGATGTATACAGTACAGTGAACTAAATTGTTTGGTCCAAAGTTTTATATCGTATTTTTTTTTCGGAAATGTCGTCTTTGGAGATATATAAAATAGCATGCGCACAGGTGTTTTATCCAAAATCAAACGATTCATGTGGATTATGTTTTAGCAAGCTTGGAGAAGACGCCATTTCGATAAACGAAGAAGTGATTTTGCGATGCTCTGGTGAAGATATCTCTGAACCAATATCTGTTTTACTTCTATATGTTTTAGGAGAAAAGGTAAATATAACCTAGTACCTATTTTTTTGTTATGATAAAAATGTCAATTTGCGTTTTTGTGGTAGGCTTGGTGACGCAATATGGCGTGGCCCGTTTCTTTGGCATCGTTACAAAATGGCGCCAAATGTTTACATTCTAATTTTTTAAATTTTATCTCTGCAGTGTTGCAATTTTTAACATGACATTTACTTGCTTTAGTCAGTAATGCTGAATTGATTTGAAATACCAATACCAATCCAGACTTTGAACCAAAAATACACAGAGCGAAGCTTTTATGGGTTCGTCCCCACTTGTTCTATTGAGTGGTTTGAACAAGAAAGTAGTTCTATTAAATTATTATTTAAAAAATGATAGAACTAGTGGAAAAAAGTTGTTCTATTTTTATCCCGAAAATAATAAATACCTAATATCAGGTAACTCCATTTCAAATTATTTTTGACCGACTTGAAAAAAGAAGGAGGTTCTCAATTTGACTGTATTTTTTTTAAATTTATGTTACATCATACTACTACTACTGGGACTTTTTTGACCCAGTAGTTCTATAATAGAACTAGTGGCAACAGACCGTTTTTATGTTGGTTGGACTGTAGTTGGAAAGGGTGGAGTATTAAGAAAGAGCTTTTGTTGGATAATGCATATTATTCCACTGAAGAATATAGGGACATGATCTTGTATTTTATAATTTATTAGATTATTAGGTATAAATATTATTTTACAGAAATGTATAAATTACATAAACTTAATGCATAGAATCATTGTTTCACATAAATTTGTACTGTATTATATTTGTAATTTTTGAAATGTAACATTTACTACTTTTTGTAATGATTCTTGTAATACAATATATTGTATATAATAATGTAAAGTTCATTTGGGAATAGATGAGACATAATTAAACACTTTTTGTTCTTATTAATTTTTATCCGCAGGCAATAGTTTTCAAAAAAATAAAGATGAAAAATTTTCATTTACCAAGGCTACAGAACTTAAAAAAAATGATCGATTTTTTTAACTTATTGGAATTTCTAAACATGTTTTGGTGATATGTACCAATCCAGAGTCAAATTTAGGTGCACCACCCTCCGAGTAGGTTAGGCGAGTGCTAGAACCGAATTTAATGCGTTTCTGGACATGTTTTGGTCAAATGTACCATGCAAGAGTCAAATTTAAGTGTACCCAGTAGGTTAGGTTAGTTAAATAAAATTATATTTTCCTCCCTAATTTTCTCGAAAACTATAGCCTGCGGAGAAAAATTAAGGATTACACAAAGTGTTTTTTATGTCTAATTTATCCGAAACAATCACTAGAAAATTTGGATTTATTTCATGTTTGCGTAAGTGTATGTATTATGTGACGTTCCTCAAATAAAATTGATTTTTCTTGTTTCAGTACTCTGAAAATTTAGAGATTTTTGAAAAAATATGTGATGCCTGTCTCCGCTTGACCATCAGCAGCTACAAATTTATCAAACGTTCCAAAGATAATTTCGCATTACTTGGAAACGCTATAGAGGACCTTAACAATGGCACTGAAAATACAGCAGAAGATTTTACTAACGTTGAAACCTTATATGTAAATATAAACCCTACTGAATGCACTATACAACAGTTTTATGATAATAAACGTCTTGCTTTGCCGCTAGAAACAGCTTTGCCTAGATTCCGTTTCATAGCTCATGGTCAATATTCGGCTAATCCAAATAAAAAGAAAAATAATGAGCGCCCTCGAGTAAGAGATTTCTCAACTATATTTATCAGGACTACAGAACTTATAGCTGATCCCAGTAAGAAAAAAGAGTTCAAATGTAAAATGTGCTTAAAAGAATATCCATCATCTGGTTGTTTGCGTCAGCATTTCTTCTCTACTCACTTCAAGAAAGAATTTCAATGTAGTGAATGTCCAAAGAGTTTTGGCACATTAGGTTTATTACAAAGTCATATTAATGTGAGTCACTCTACTGTGGAGTGCCATATTTGTGGTAAACAATTGAAGAATAGGACTAGTACCATAAAACGTCACCATATGATGCACAATAGCGCAACGAAAGTTTGTTTTCGTTGTGGGCGTAGTTATAAGAAAGTTACAGACTTTAATAAACACATGGCTCAAGATTCTTGTGCAGTACCATCCAAAATCAAAGGCAATTTTACTTGCGATCACTGTGGCTATCACTGCAGTTTCAAGCATCAATTGTTGGCCCATATAAAATATGAACACACAGATGCACAAGGCTTTTTGTGCAAATGGTGTGGAAGGAAGTGTTATAGCCAGAGTGCGTTAAAAACTCACGTATTGAAACACACAAAAGAAAAGAACTTCACTTGTACGGAATGTGGAGGAAGATTTGTCACCAGACAGTCCTTGCTTAATCATACAAGATTGCATACAGGAGAACGTCCATATAAATGTGATTTTTGTGATCAGTGTTTCTTGTCTGCATCTCGTAGAAGAGATCATATTGATCGTCATCATTTACCATCTTCGTATGACTGTGATATGTGCGATGCAAAGTACAACGCACGGCGGTCGTTAGTGAAACATAGAAAAAGGCATATGATGGGACACGAGGAGCAAACTGTGACTGAAGAAATAGCTGAAGATAAAACAGTTATTGTGGATGAGCGTTATGTTACTGAAGTAATTGTTGAAAATTAAAATTCGCCAGTTGAAATTCGTAAAAGATTTGGAAAAATTAAATTAGGTGATTAGTTTTCGATAAATATGGCAAAGTATATACAATTTTTTTAGGGACAATACTTAAAGTATTTACCCAGAATTATTATTATACTTGTATAACATTAGTGCATATTAAGAGTACAAATTATGTTCTTACAAATGTATAATTATGTAATAAAATTGTTTCATTGTACATGAGAACAACAGTTACTTATAATAATATGATATCGTTTGTTTAATAAATAGATTCATTTTTATACAATTGATTTTTATTGTCTTTTTAATAGTTAGTAAAAGGTATAAAATAGATGTATTTAATAGTAGATATGTATGTGTTACTACACAATAATTATCTAATTTACATATTTTAGTTTTTTTTAATATAAACATTGGTTTTACAATTGTTTTAGGACTTTTATCATATGACTAATATTTTAGAAACTTCTTACAAAGGGTGCTCACTTAATGCATGCGCAAACTGAGTATAATCTACTTGGGCCAGTTAGCAAGCTTCAAAACCAGGCAAGACAAGGAAATCGGTCGTCGCACGAGAACGCCTGGAAGAGCTAATGGTCCTTGAAGAAACACATGAAGAGTGACACCTAGGTCACTTAAGTGCCAACTCTTCTATAATTATGTACACATATCTTGCCCATCCTAATAATAGTACGCAGACATGCTAAAATGGGATTAGGTGGGCCGTTTGCTGCATGAAACCCAAAAAGTGGGCGAATGTCGTCACTCTCTAGGTGCCCGAAGATGGAAGGTGACCGTGCAGCGAGGATGGCCGAGAAGGTGTTAGCGGGATGATCTGGATAGGTTTGAAGAAGAGTGGTGAAAAATACAAAAGAAATAAAAAGACACTGTAGACGATCGTGTGTTCTCATTACCAACAATAGCTGTAATGAGAAGAAAAAGACCCGAGGGTTTTATTTGGGACATTATTAGTCAAGTTAGCCTGTATGTAAACATACTATTTACGTGCAAGTGTGATGAAAAACATTGTAAGTTTTATGGGCGGTACATACAGGAATTACGAACCTCGACTCCAAAAGCCCTCAGTTTTCGACTTCGGGCTTCTAATAGCGTATCGTTCGTAATTCTTTATTTGCCGCCCTTAACACACAATATAAACTATTGTCTGCCCAAAATCGTCATTATTGTAGCACATTTACAAACATGACATAAACAGTGTATAGTTGGTGTATAGTCAAAATAAACGGATTTTGATTTCAAAGCAAAATATCTCTCTTGTGACTCTACGACAAAAAGAAATATTGGAAATTCGAATTTGTAGAGGTATCTAAAAAAATATAAGTAGTTAACAGCGATCACCCTTAAGCACTACGAGACATAATCAGTCATGAAAGAAACTAAAAAAAAAAAATTCATTCATTCAATTCCCAATATTTCTTCGAATTCCAATATTTCTTTTTTCGTAGACAGAGCATAGAGCTTTTTCTCACTGATGTCATAGAACTTCTTCTTCTTTATTTATTAGTGGCTTGTTTTGTGTCTTTCACAATTCCGCCAAGATGTCATAGATCATACACTCTTTACCTGATGTGATGATTGATGACACAAAACCATACTAGATTGATGACATGTGTCAAGTCAATTTTTTCTTGTCAACCAGTAGCAGGGATGTACGACTTTTACTTTCAATCGATTTTTCGGATTGTAATAGATTATGTGCCTCAGAATCGATCCACATTTCTATTTATTTTTCGGATCATAAGCTCTTGAATCGATTTCATGTAAATCGCTCCAAAATTAATTTTGATAAACAAAATAATAATATTGACAGACTTTTCAGCTTCAGTCGGTTACGACTTTCATTCAGAGTGATATTAATCAATGAGAAAAGACTTTCAGATGACGCAGTAGTATTATTACTACTGCGTCATCTGAAAGTCTTTTCAGACGACGCAGATGACGAACATTAAGTCTATGATATTAGGCGATTATCGCCTAATATAATAGACTTAATGTTAACGTAATAAAGTTAATCTATAATGCAATCGATGTTTTATAAAATATTCATTACGAACGTACAGGGTCAAGAGCACGTCCAGCTTGACAATTAAGATTTAAATCCAACTCTATGCCGCTTGCGGTAAGAACGGTCCAAAGTACAAAGTGTCAAGCTTGACGTGCTCTTGACGTACATAGTTGACAGAGATGTTAGGAACTATGTAATTGCTAGGATACCTAAACCACAAAGCATGCAATCTTCTTAGGAGATAAACCAATCTATCAATCACTAATCTTGCTTTACAGCGTTCAGTGCTTCCATCAGTATAGAATACCCAATTGCAGGGTAACGCTCTGATTTTTTCATTTGCTTTAACTATCTAGTTCCCATGTGTTATTTTCACGCAAAGAATTCATCTGACTATCCATAGCCTTGCGCTATTCATGTTGGTTAGGTCTATCAAGAGCCTTTTTATACGTTTTCGATTCTTTGCTGCCATTGAAATCATCAATATTCATTACAAAATGATCAAACCTTGTACTCCTACAACGTTTTAGTGTAGAACGATCTCTGAGTGTTATACTCCTTTCTCCTAATTCAGGAAATTCTTCGTCCTCATCTCTAGGTGTCATGCCCCTCTCATTTATTTCTGGTAGTAATTCTACACTCTCTGATCCATTCTCTTGCTCTCTTACTGATACAAACGAATCATCAGCTTGGCCTTCTTCATCATTTGAGTCAAACTTATAATTAGTACCCGGTTCAATATTGTCCTCATCAGGACAAGTGATTGTTCGAGTCTAGGTAGTTTATGTTTACAGATTGGATAGGTTTAACATTGGTCAATTGTAGCTTGTAGAACCCTCCACGTTTACGTTTACGTGTACGCAATATATTACTATTAACCAAGATAAAGATATATTTATTTCAATATAACTTAATCTAATACAATATAAGTGAAAACAAATGTAAATAAAGCTATTATAGTATTTAAATAAGAATTAACAGGGGAATCTAGATTATACATTCTTCATAGTAAAGCTATTATATATTTTAAAGCATCTAATGTGTAATAGCGATGCCTAAATATAAAATAAAAAAAATAATAAAATAAAATAAATTAATGGTTATCTATATAAAACAACAAATTTTAATTATGAAACAACTTCCAGCAAGTCCTCTGTTTCATTGTAAGTCTTACTCGTAACCCACAATTTGACGGTCTTTTTACATTCTATTTTATTCATGGAGAAATAATGCAAATTAGAATTTAATTTAAAGTAAAATAATGTACCAAGGAATCAAAAGAATCTATGCGAGTGTGCTGTGCGGAGTTGTGCACGAGATGAAAAGGTATCGAGTTCGTCTTTGGTTGGTTAAAGTAACAGAATCAAATGGAGTAATTGCCGAACCGAGAGGACGTCGCACTCGTTTAGAAGTTTGCGGGTTGGATAATCGAAAGGACGGAAGTTGATGACTTTAAGAACAGCTCTCTGCATTCCTTGCAGGTTTATCAGGGTGGTCTTATGTGCACCGCCCCAGGATGTAATGCAGTAAAGTAGCAATGATTGACAGAGGGCTAAGTACACTGATTTGAGAAGGGCGCTGTTAGCTGCATATCCTAAATTTTTAAAAACATATATAAATTTTCGAACTCTAGAAGCAAGCGCTACAATATGGTGTTTGAAATTTAGATGTTTGTCAATTATGACACCTAAATATTTAATGTCGTTTGTGCTGTCCAGTGTTGGATAAGTACAGAGGTTTAGATGAGTTCGAGGGCTTGTACAATGGTGAGCTACTATTGAAAAAGCATTCTCAGGAGGTTGTGAGGAGATATTGTGTGAGAAAGTCTATATTTAGTTTTGCTAGTATTCAGTGTAAGGGCATTCGCTCTGAGCCACTCGGTTATTGTATTAAAACCAAATTGAGCATGTGAAAATGTTTCATTCCAACTTGAGGCGCTGAATAATAATACTGTAGTACTTCTAACTTGTTTGGAAGTATTGGTATGTTTATAGTGTCAAAGGCTTTTGTGAGGTCAAGGAAAATAGCTAAACATTTATTCTTCGAGTCCAAATTTCTTATAATGTAGTCAGTCAGTTCATCAACTGCGTCGTTCGTCGATAGCCCTGTTCTGAACCCAAATTGGGACGTCGATAGAAGTTACTTAGTTTCTAAATAATTAACAAGCCTTTTATAGATTATTCTTTCAAGTAGCTTAGAAAGAGATGGCAATATTGCAAATGGACGGTAATTGTTAATATTGCTCTTATCGCCGCTTTTGTAAATAGGTTTTATAAGGGCTGTTTTCAGTACTTTGGGAAATGTTCCTGTTAATAAACAGAGATTGAAAATGTAGGTCAGGTGTGGAATTAAACAATTTTTAGGTTGTTTAATGAAAGAGCAGGGAATTTTGTCAATTCCTGTCGCACAGTCATTTCTTTAAGTCATAATAATGTTTTCAATTTCAGTTTTGTCAATGTTGATCAAGGCAAAAGAGTGCAATTGTGAGAACAAAAAGAAAAAAAAAACGTGAGACGTTGATTTTTGCCTTTTCGAAGTTTTCCTACACTAGTGAAGAATGAATTTGCTGAGTTAACAGTTTGAACTGCATGTTCTGTGTTTACTATTAGTTGCTGGGCAGACGATTTGGAGTTAGTCATGTTCATAATATTTTTGATGACTTTCCACAATCTCTTTTTATCGTGACTTGCATTAATTATTTGTGTCTTTTCGTACTGACGTGACGTTTTAATTTCTTTAATAGATTGTTACAGAAATTTCTATATCTATAATAACTAGTTTTAAATATGGGATTGTTCGGAAACTTAACAATTTTTTTATGAAGTTTATTTCGATTTTTAATGCAGCGCAATAAGCCAGAGGTAATCCAAGGTTTAATTATTTTATAGCGGCGCGTAAATTTTTTAGTTGTTGTATTCATTTCTATAATTTTAGTGAGCGAGCTTATCAAATATTCCATTGCTATATTGGCGTCAGTTGAGTTGTATATTGGCGAAATATCTGATCTTGCAAGGTCACGAGCCACGCCCTCCTTGTTCAGTTCTGTATAGGAATTGATAGACTGGATTCTATTGAAACTCTTTTGTTTGCTTAGTAGTAAGGTATAGTGGTCAATTAGGGAAGTTTTTAACACTATAGTTTTTACGGTAAGGATGGTTTTGGCTAATATATGGTCTAAGTAATTACGATCTCTCGTCGGATGAAGATGGGTTGGGAGGTAACCAAGAGAAGCTGTTAGGTTTAAGTATTCGCCTGAGTTGCTATCTTCATTGTCGTTCTTAATGTCAATATTAAGGTCACCAAGAATAAATACGTTTCGAAAAGATGAAAGTGTTTTCATAATGCCCCCTAAGGAAACCAAAAAATTTGTGATGTTTCTGCACGTACAGAGCTTCCATATCATCTTCATTCTTAGAGGATAGTGCTTTCTCGAGAGAACATAAGTGGTTTGTTATATTACCTATTATTCGATCAGACTTTGACATTAACAACCAGCTGGATTTATATGCGAAGTATACTTCAGGGAGTGTGTCGAAAATTTTACAAATAAGGAACATTTCTGGCAAATCACCTCGTTTTGACTTTAGCAATTCTTGCGTTAGCGAAAGCAAATATTCTATATTTTTGACAAGTGGGTAACTATGTCATCTTCAGGTTTTGAATTTGAATTTCAATCTGAGGTCATAGGCTCGATCTTCTGACACTCCATCACACATGCGGTGCAGTTCTAACCATACGCCTCTAGAAGTAGAATATCGCATAACGTTCGGAAGGTTATCGTCTGACAAATTTTTAATTATTACTAGCAACTATACTATCTACCTTTTGATAGGTCTTCAGATGCTTCACTTAATGTTTTATAAAGTATTTATTACGATATTACATACGTAATTGACAGAGATGTTAGGAAAAATGTAGTTGCTAGGATACCCAAACCACAAAGTATGCAATCTTTTTAACACTTAGATGTTGCCAAATTGCTTTTCTTGTGAACCAATATACAAAAAGATATGATAGTACTCCTCCGGCTCTATCAATAAATGAGAAAACTGATATATTTATGAGTATTTTAACAAAGATCTTTATTAAAATATATCCAAAAGAACTAACGTGAAAAAACATAGCATAACATGACGAGAGTTCTACGAGACGACAAAATATATTTGAAAAAAAAACTCTCAATGTCACATTGGCCAGTATGTAAAAGATTACAGATATTCAGGGTCGTATTCTAGAACTCTACTCAATGCTCAAGTCAGGATTGCAATTGAAACACAAGCACTGGAAAAACGACCCTAATGGCAGAGACTTGGGTATGATTTCGAGTGCTTTAAACCATACTCATATCCTGACTTGAGCATTGAGTAGAGTTCTGGAATACGACCCTAAGACAAGATAAACCTTATGATTCAGCCGAGGTTCAGAAAGACTTGTTTAAATTATGAATGCGATCTACACGATTCGATTCGCTTTAATCTTGATTCGATTTGCTTAGAAATCGAATGCAATGAATCGATACAAAAATTGCTAGATCGTGTACACTTGAATCGATCTTCATAAAAATCGAATCGCGTAATGTGTGTCCTGTGTCCCTATTTTGTTTTGTTGAGTTTTTGTTGTCACACTATAAATAAGAATAACAGAAATTAATCTCCTAGTATGTACTTTAATATCCTCTCAAAAACCCTATTGAAATCATGTCATTGATATCTAGTTTGGTAGATAAATTGATATCACGAAAAGAACAAGACTTTTGCCAGCTGTGTTTTAGTAACATTGGACCAACAGCGATTAAAATTCAGGATGAAGTGATAGTAGATAAAACGAAACCTCACCATACTACAGAAATGTCTGAAATATTGACCTTTATTTTGGGCGGTCATGTAAGTAAAAATAACCTCACTGTTTGTTTTGGTGAAGTTTTTGTAGCACCGATGCCGATGCTATCTCATGGCGGCTAACGTTTATTGACAAATATATGCCTATTATTAATCAGCAACCTTATTACTCGAAATGGATTTTTAATTAGTGTTCGAAAAAAAATAAACAAAGAACTACATCACGTATGAAAAATGATTATTGTATGTTGATTTTTTATATTTTCAGTTTTCGACTCGGTTATCAGCATTTGACTCAATATGTGGCACATGCTCAGAAACAGCAAAGCTTACTTACAGTTTCATTAAAACTTGTCATGAAAACTCTGAACTCCTAGTAAATTCTTTGGACACACTAAATGATTGTATAGAAAACACACCTGCGGATGTTAACAATTTCAATACCTTATTTATAGCGATAGATACGAATGACTTTTCAAGTAAACAATACTATGACAGTAAAAAAATAGTACAAACAAAATCCACAGCACTTATGAAGTACCGCTCACTATTTCATGGCACTAAAAAATTGCAAGTTCAACAAAAATGTCAGAAAGGGCACAGATACAGCTCTGAGTTGCTTGAAATATGTGATGTAATTCGAGAGAAGAATACACCAACTAAATACAAATGCAAAGTGTGTTCAAACATATTCAGTAAATCATTTAACTTCAAAAAACATTTTTACAGCCAACATTCACCTAAAGTATTGAAATGTGCTGATTGTGACAAAAGTTATGGATCTGAAGCTTTGTTAAAACAACACCGATATGATTGCCATTCAAAAATAATGTGCAGTGAATGTGGTAAAACATATACAAATAGATATTCATTGCTGTATCATATTAGGCGTCATACTGGAGAACAGCCTTATAAGTGCAAGTATTGTGGTTTAAAATTTCAGTGGTCATCTCGTAGGGCAGAACACATACGCCGTTGTCACATGGAGCCTGCTGTAGAGTGTGATATATGCCATCTTAAGTTCAGAACTTTAGGTTCTTTATATGACCATAGGAAACGACATTTTAATCCAAACAGCAGACTGCATGTAAGGTTGGAACAAACTGGAGAAGTTATTGAAGAAGGTATTGTGGATGATATCATGAATGTTGACATTGGATAGTGTAAATAAATATGTTAAAAATATGACAATTGTAGTTTGTATTTTGTGCATAAAATGCCATCAATAATAAAGTGATGAAAGCCGAAAAGTAAAATTTGGCTAGCACCAAGTCTGACAAATACTATTATATATATTATTTTAATAGACGAGTTACAAAGTCTTGCATATAGCTAATTAAGTCTAACCTAAGTGCAGACTACCATTTTAATGACTATTAATTATGTGAATAGGCTTCTGTTCCCAAAGTCCTGTCAAATGTTTCATTGAAAATTTCCACTTCACAATTTCGTTTTCGCTATTCTTTAATAAAAAGTACAATCAACATATTATTCATTACAATTATATAGCGACATCTCTTATTGACATCAATGTGTCGCTTTATAATAATATTATAATACCTGTAGCAGTGTTGGGCGTTAATCAATTAAATTTCAAACAGAAAGTCAATGAGTTTAAAAAAATCAATTCAATTGAAATCAATTGCAACGTCGCAATTAATTTTAATTGCAATTGATTTTAAATGCAATAAATTTTTTTAAATTGTTTTAAGTAACAAACTAACAATTAAAACCGTGGGTTAGGGGGGTTGGCTAAGTGGTGGGTTAGGGGTGGGTCATGGATTCGGTTAGGGGGTAGGTTGGGGTGGTTCAAGGGCTGGGTGAGTGCGTGCCAGTGGGTGAGGGGGTAGGTTAGGGGTGGTTTAGTGGGTGGGTTAGGGGGGTTAGGGAGTAAGTTTGTGGGTGGGTCACTCACTCACCCGTTCAAACCTACTCACCCACTGAGGGGTTGGGTGAGTAGTTAGTTGTTAGAGTAGTTGGGGGTGGGTAACCCAATCAATTGTCAATTGTTTTTTTCTAATTGACAATTAATTAATTGTCAATATTTAATTGCCTGAACAATTAAATTTTGCCCAATACTGACCTGTGGTAGCTGTTAAGGTGGCAGCGTACGGCAAAAAGGTTCCCTTTTTTCCATATTATATGCAAAAAGTTATTAAAAACCATAGATTTACTAAATCTATGTTAAAACCATAAACAAATTAGCTTCTATTATGGACCGGGTAGGGTTAGTTTGTGATTTTTTTAAATTAGTGAACTCCACAAAAAGGAAGGATATTCAAAGAAGATTGCTAATGAGTCTCTTTGATATGGTTTTGTGTTGTTATGGATACATGAAAAACTAAGATGTCAAAGTGTACAATAAAACCTTAGTGGATGGAAAAAACACGTCAATTGCTTGAAAACATGAATTTTTTATTTGTTACTAATTTTTCCTACTACAAGACTACCGATTCGGCTTAGATAACGCTACAGAGAGAGGAAGGTCCTTATAACTATAGACAAGTAGAAAAAATGTCTCCAGAGTCGTATTTTAAATCATTGTGAAAACGAGGCTTGAGTGAATGACATTTTAGTTCTAATAGTTCCTGATCAGATGGCGCTAATACTTGATTGTTTATTGGCCACTTTGGCCAGTCGGTCAGCCGTCAAATCTCCGTAGTCTGTGGTCAAAAGGTCCTTTCCTTTCGCTCGTGCAGTGTTTGAGTATTTGTCTCGCTCTGCTCTACGCAAAATGGCCGAATATTGTTGGACAACAGCAGACGTTTCACAAATTTGCACGTAGTATCGAGTGTCCCGCGTCGTAAATAAACTTTTCTGAGCCAGTGCCTATACCCGGAAGTGCAAGTGCAATCTGTGTGTTTAACGCGAGAATTCCACGTTTTGCATGGATAAGTGTTGTCAGTGTTATAGTGCCTTGTTTTTAACAGTAGCTTATCCTGACTCGTGTCTTGGATTTATGTTTACTTGACTCCGGTTAGTATGCATTGTTACTGTTTACCTACACACAGCAATACCGAAAACGTAAGTTCGTAAGTTCTGTGAAGCGTGTAAATAGTTTTTATTTCATAAAGTTTTGACAGGTTGCATTGTCCCTTTCTTCCATTAAAAATTTGCGTTTGTGTACAAGAGATGGATAATCATTCATAGTTGCTTCACTCCCTATCCCTAATGGAAAGTGTGCCGTTTTAATTATTGTTTTGGTGGCTTATTATGAAATGTTCGATTTGTCTACTTATGCCCGTATTGGAGATTGTTTATAGCAATTAACGGTGACCCTCAGGATTTACCATGACATAAGAATGATGCGTAGGTAGGACATGTACTAGCATGTTACAATGTGACATCATTTTCGCGTATTTAAAAATACTTATTTTATGTATTCCACACATTTTGTGTACGCTTGCGTGGCGATCGTGACTGCCAAATCTTGCTAAAGTGTTTACTATAATTTTCCTAAAACATCTCAGTCATAGTTGACTCACACTGTAGTACTTATAATAAGTATTATCATGCCTGTCTGAATGTCCCAGGGCACAAATCGCAGCAACTTGCTATGATCTTGGCATACATCTGTAGTTTCCTATATTTACTTAGGTGCATAAAGCAAAATTCAGTCACTGGACAACACAATAAAACTCTAGATTGTAACTAAACTGACCTACACTTAAGGGCCTTATTCCAGAACTCTACTCATTGCTTAAGTCAGGATCTGAGTATGATTTCAAGCACTGGAAACACAACCCTAATGGCAGGGACTTGAGTATGATTTCGAGTGCTTTGAACCATACTCAATTCCTGACTTGAGTATTGAGTAGAGTTCTAGAATACGACTCTTAGGGTCATATTTTAGAACTCTACTCAATGCAGTCAGGATTGCACTGGAAACACAAGTACTGGAAATATGACCCTAATGGCAGGGACTTGAGTATGATTTCGACTGCTTTAAACCATTCTCAAAATCCTGACTAGAGCATTGAGTAGAGTTCTAGAATACGGCCCTTAGTGTTCTTGCAAATATTAAATGACAGCAGAGAAGTGTTTGCATCATACTTTTTGTACTTACACATTTGTCCACTTCATGTTACAATGCTAATGAACTTGAGTGTTAGGAAAAGGATCAGGATAAATCTAATCTGGGTTATTGTCATCATGTAAAACTTTTGTGTTTGATTCACGCTAATCACTAAGAGATTGTTGCATATTTTGGCAGTCATTGATACATTGTTGTTGTAGTTTAATGATTAGAAAATCGATTACTTTTTCAATTAGTAACATTATAATTATTTTGATGTTAGTTGTGATAGCCGTGACAAATATTAATTTTTGTGTAATACATCTCTAATTTTAAATATCAAAAAGATTCCATATTTTGATGATGTTGATAGATTTCCCCTAGCTCTATCAATAAATGAGAAAACTGATTTTAAAATTTTGACAAAGGTTTTTATTAAAATATATATGTATAAGTAATATGAAAATAATCATGACGAAACTACAAGACAACAAAATATATTTGAAAAACACCAGCCAGTATGTAAAAGATTGCACATCCATGCTCTGACAGATATTCAATCAGAAACTTCATATGGGGACAAATTACTAACAAAACTGTATGTCAACACTCTAAAATGTTATTTCTTTTTTTAGTAATTAAACTTTTTTAGATCTAAATCACATATTTGTGTAATCAAACAAACCAAATTTTCTTTACAAGTCCCATGGTCACGACCACAGATTTGGTAATATATATATATTAAGTGTATGGTCTCTGCTGACTGATTTATATGTTTTGTCATCGTCCTGTCGGTTTTGTTTGCTTTCATGTCCATAACGCTCAGGGATATAAGCTCATCTAGGAAACATTAATACAGGAATACAAATAAAAGGAGATCTTACAATTTGTTTCAATAAAGGCAAATTTTCAAAATATTGTATGTTATTGTGTAGTTAATTTTATTACTTTGGTGCTCACAGTACAGGGATGCTCAAGTTTATTGCTATACCGTCTTTTTCTTCTGTATTTAGTGCCCATATACACTGTTCTGGTATTTTGTGGCACATATATCAAGCCTATGTAAATGTATTTGCGTAGTATATTTACATGCAGAATGGTTTTCTTTATGTACCAATGACACACTCTAATTCAAAGGGTAATATTTCTTGTTGTCCAATGTAGCTTCTTAGAAATAGTCTTTAACCATATTGATGTACTACCTTTCATTCAGGAGTTTGTTAACTTGTATGGTGTAATAGTATTATAATGAATCTTTGTGTGCACCACTTGTAAAATGATTTTCGATGAGACCTAAGCATAGCAGTGGAATGTATTTACCGTATTATAATACGTTATTGGTGGTTGCTATGTGTACTGAAGTGATATTAGGTTATATTAACGTTTTAACAGACACTGGGCTGTCTCTAAATTTTATAAAATTGGCTAATATGTTGATATTTTAAAAAACACTCCAACTTGCTGCTGAACTCAGTGAGCATAAACAATATAATATCATTGGCTAAACGGCTAAAAATTATTAAATTATTCCATAGTCATCCTCGCTCCCCGATATTGACTGATATTGTAGATAGAGTTAAAAGAATTGGAGAGGATGTGGGTTATATTTTCCTGTATCTAATGGAGCAATAAACATGTTTGACATAACTCTACTTATGCCATTGTTCCATGAGGGGCGCAATTTATCGAAAAAATTAACATAAATTCTGTGTAATTCGCAACACCAGAGGCAAATCACTTTATTGTACCAAAAATGATTTAATTATAAAGTTGAAGACCTGTGATAAAAAATTAGTTGATAAATATTTTTTACCAATAAGGTTGTAAAAAGTTCTGATGATGCAGTAGACATAGGAACAAGGACAGTTGTATGATCGTCATGAATACATTTAAAAATAATTCACAAATGTTGCTATACACATTACGATTATAAGTCTGGGCTTGACTTGTAATATTAATTGAAATCAGATCAGGATTATCAAATACCATTTATGTTTACATTCACCACAGTGTTGGTTCAAAGGTTCATATACCCATTTAGTAATTATGACAGTTGATTTAAGTAAAATCTTGATATTGATCCTGTAGTTGAGATGGTCTTGTAAATATGAACAATACTCTTTAAAAGTCAGCAATTATAATCAATTCTATGTCCAAAGGCAAAATTACTTAATGGCTAAAGAAAGGAACACAAAGGAACAAATTAAAAGTATAATATAACCAAATAGAGTACAATGGCAGAGGACAGGGGTCACTATACAATGTTGGTACGTTTGCTTTTAAGAGGCAGGGGTCGGATTTCATTCATGCGACGACAATGGCGTCTTATGTGAACCAGCGCTAACTGGGGAACGCGGACGTCCAATTATAATGTACTGTGGGAGTCAGGATTGGTATGATTTCATTTAAACGCTAATAGACTGTAACTTTATGACCCTTGTGACCCAATATTTAGGAACATTTTTTTCTCTATTGATATGAACATAATGATGAATGTTACAAGGACCACCCGAACGCTTAATAATTTATAATGTCGAGTCTGTCTCTCATTTCTCTCTCTCTCTCGTTCATTATCAATCCAGATAAATCCCACTGCTGGGCACTGGTCGCTAAGTACACAGCTGGCTATTCTTCGGGATTTCTCAAAAAATACCACAATTATGAAAACATAATTATCTATCCATCCAATCTATCTTAACAACGGAATGAGTAACACATTACCAACAATGTAGATGCGAGGATTGCGTGAAGGGCGACGCGGCGACTGCGCCGGCGGCGGAACGCTCGTTCCTAACTAACTGTTCACGTTTAATTGTTGACTATTGTTTTAAATCAGTGTTGATTCTTAATACACTGTTTTGTCTAGTGCTTTATATCAGTTGTAGATACTTCGTATGCAAAATAGTAGCTTATTGAATATATTGTATAGAGTTCCGAAAAGCAATCTATATATTAATTTGACTCTCTAGGGAGGACTTAACTCTGTAGACACGTTGTCATCGCCTTGATAAGGAAGTTGGCGATCGTGGAATTCGTGGAATTGGAAACAGCTGCCCCATATCGTAGATTGGGAACCACTTGAATAATACCGGACAGATCCACGGCGCGAATAGAAACGGTAAATAAAATTCATTTTGTATATACTTGATATAAAAATGTGCTTTCATACCGGAGTAGTGGCGGAGGGAGGATTTCTGTTGATATATTCTACACCTACTGCTAAATCGAAGAAGCAGAATTAATTTTGGCCATCACGCATGTCACCCACTGGGATACATAAAAGTGTATACTAGAATATGATTTTTAAATCACATTGTAGCATTGTCATCGGGTTTATAAATGTATGTATAATTTCAGTTGGAATAAGATATATTTATATGAGAAGTTGTTTAAAATATACTATTTGCGTCAACTTGTAGTCATGCAATGTCGTAAGTGGGTCAATTAGAAAAGCCCGTGGCACTAACGAGTTATCAGCGAATCAATACCGCCATTACCATGTTCGTCTGCTGCTGATACTAACGATAGCCATAGCTTGCGACGATGCATTATGAAACCTAAAGCTGATACGGAATTGGTAAACATCAATTCTGTACCAAAACTGAAGCTGTATTTTTACACGTTGTTACCTACTTGTTAGCCGCGTAATTTCAGATTCGATTTGTTCGTAATCTGTGTAATTGTGTACGTGTTAGTAAACACAATCGTTATTAATGAAACTACATTTGTGCTTACAAAGGCTGGATACATCAAAGATAAACTATCAATCAATATAAGGTTTATTGTTTTTCCATTTACGATTTTACGTCAACGATTTAGCGTCCAACTCACTGAACATTACTATTGTGTCAATTTTATACGGTCCAATGTACTGCTTGCGTCAACCAGCTTGCCAAGCGTGATTATTGTTTCCCGTTGTTATAGAAAGATCATTTCGACGGCCTCGATAGCTCAGCGGCTAGCACGCGGCGAGGCGGGGTGCAGATTCTAGCAGGATCAATTCAGGAAA